GTTTACAAATCCCATGAAGTCTTAAGTTTGGCTTCTTTAAAGCGAGCTGCTTAACAAACCAGTCAATTCCCCCTTCTTCATGACGGCACGTCGTAGCAAAGTCTGAGGAGTTTGGGGATTTTACTTTTAATATAGCCAGAAAATAGGGTTTGCTGGAGGCTCTAAAGCTTTGGCTTTTGCCCAGAATTTACAGCGTGTTGTTCTGAGTAGTTTTGTATCTGTATGTTCTTTTTTCTGAGCCTGTATTACAACCCAATCACATGCTTTAACTATTTGAAATATTTTATCTTCTAAATAGTTAATTCTGTTTCAAAATTGAGTTCCAGGCATAAGGAGTGAGACTGGATCCCAGTTTCTCCAGCAGTATGCCTGTTTCTTTCCTCTTCCGTTACTTTGCAGCACGTGTGTGCTCTTCTAACAAGTGCTGTGCCTGCATGTGTGAATTCTGCCCCCGTTGAGTTCAGTGTAAGTAGACTGTCATCTGAATTACTACATGTATTTTCTCAGTACCTCCAATAATGTATTGGAGTATCTTTTTCATATATCCATTCAAGTCTTCTGATATCACAGAGAATAACTTAATGTCCCCTTAACTTCAAAGTGTTTGAAGAACCTTAAAACTTCCTTATTGAGCTCCTCACTCCCAGGACCTCCCATTGTTGGCTTGTATTAATGGTGAATTATTGATATGCAATCAAAAATCACTACTCATGTAAGATCTTAACCAAAAAGTGTACCAAGCTATCACCAAGGTATCAGAACTATGCCAATAGTTCTATAATAAAAAGATGCCAGAAGAAATGTGCAAAACTTGTATTTTAGTATTTTAATACAAATTTTTAGAGTTGGTGGAGGGGAAGATCAATGCTTTAAAAAAAATAATCCTTTAGATCCCTTATTTTCAAGTTATGATGTATGGCTTCAATATGTAAAGTAACTGCCTTACCTGTTGTTATGGTTTAACCTGGCAGGCAGCTAAACACCACACAGCAGTTTGCTGACACCCTCCCCCCTGCAGTGGGATGGGAGAGAGAATCGGGGGGAAAAAAAGAGTAAAATTCATGGGTTGAGATAAAGACAGTTTAATAGGACAGAAAAGGAAGGCAAAATAATAATAATAATGATAAAAGAATATACAAAACAAGTGATGCACAATGCAATTGCTCACCACCCATTGACTGATGCCCAGCCAGTTCCCAAGCAGCGGTCACTGCCCGCCGTGGCCAACTCCCCCCAGTTTATGTACTGAGCATGACGTCACATGGTGTGGAATGTCCCTGTGGCCAGTTTGGGTCAGCTGTCCTGGCTGT